TCCTCAGCTCAGGGCCTGCCCCACAGGAACCCCTGGGCGCCAGGCAGAGCGGGGTGCTGAGGGCGCGGCCGCCGCCCCGCGCCCCGGCCCGGCCTCCCTTCCCCGGTGACTTGCGCCCTTGCAAGCCGCGGCCCGGCCCCGGGGGTGCGGCAAGGGCCCCGGCTGTCCGGGTTACTCGGCGCGGGTTCAGGCGTGGGGGCCGGGCCGGCGGCGGGGGGGCCGCGCGGAGGCTCGGGAGCACGTGAAAGGGCTAGATCCGCACAGCCAGAGGTTTCCAGAAAGTGTCCGACAAGAGGAGCACAGGAGGGACAGGGCCCTGAGCCTGACCCGCAGCGGCCGCTCTCTCCACGTGACCCCAAAGTCCTGCCGCTGCGGAGAGCGTAGGCCCCGGCACCCGCTCAGGGCCCGGCCTCCCTGGAGAGGGCCACGCTGACCCCTCTGCCGTCCCGGCCGAGCTGGGGCCCCCACCCTTCTCCCGCGCCTCCTCTTCCCGCTCTGTCTCCAGCTCCTGCCACTGGTCCCGCCAGGCCCTGGCGCCTCCGCGGTCTCCGGCCTCCCTTCAGCATGGGACGCCTGGACTCATCCGGGGTGATCGCGCGATCTCTTCACAGCTCCCCTCCCCGACACCTCGTGGCTCCTCCTTTCATCTTTCCAGAACCTTCTGCAGTCACGCGGGCCCTGTGCCTTGGGGGCAGTGCCGGGCCCGGGGTAGGTCTCTACTGAAGAAGGGACAGGCCAGCGAGGGGCGGGGTCCTGGGATCTCAGTGGTGACACTCGTCCGACACCCCCCAACCCCCACCCCGGGAGCAGATCCACTCAATGAACAGCCCGACCGGACCACTAATGACCAGCGGGTCTGAGGCGGAGAGCGAGGTGTGCTCTCCCTGGAAACCGAAGCGCTGGCCGGCGGTCTCAGTTGGGCAAAGACCCCACCCAGCCCCGGGAGCCCAAGGACACACGCAGGGGCAGAGGTGGCTGGCTGGTTTACGCCGCTTGGGGTTGGGTGGGGCGGGGTCGGGTCCAGTCTCCCCGGGGGCGGCGCCCCTGCAGGGACGAACAGCCCCCACCCCTACCCCGGCCCAAGCCCCTACCGCTACCACACCGGGCGGCACGTTCCTTGCGGACCAGGCGCGTGGGGCTGGGGTCTCAGCCGGAGAGGTCCCTAGCGCCGCCCGTCGGGCTTAGTGTTTCCGCCGATCGGGCGCCCGGCTTTCTGATAGGCAGACGAGGCCCCGCATTAGCCCTGGGTCCGCCTCACCTTCCCGCATTTGGGTAGATGACAACTGTTTCCACCGCCCCAAGCGCATGGCACGTCAACGACCCAGGCGGCAGGCACCCCTTCAATGCCCCAGGAGGGCGCAGGCGTCCCGCCCCCGCGTCTAGTGAGCGCAGCCAAGCCCAGCACAGCTGCTCCAGCCCCCCAGCAGCTGTGCAGGAGGGCCCCGTGCTCCCACACCCCGACAGCTTGGCATTACCGAACTCTCCAGCCATGTCTCTTCGTGGCTTTCATTTCCCCCACCGAGGACTTGAACCCCTTTTCTTTTAGAACCCCGCCCCCACCCCCATAGTCCCTGACACCTCTTGGCTAGGCTGTGGGCTTTTGCAGGAAGGGCTAAAACCAAGCGATGTCCAGTGCCTGGGGATTTTCCCCAGGGGGTGGTCAGCGAAGGCCCCACTGAGGAGTTGCCATTTAGGGTGGGAGATTGCCTTGCTGGGCAGCAGGAAAAGGGTTTCAGGCAGAGGGAGGAGCCAGGAGAAAGTCCTCAGGTGGAATGAGTGGGCACGGTCAGGACCAAGCAGGGAGTGTGTCCCTGCGGTGTGAGAGGGCGGAAGGGAGTGGCATATGGGTCCCAGAACAGTGCTGCATGGAGGCTACCTCATCCACGACCCTGTTCCCCGTGGAGAAGCAGACGCATCTCTTGAGCCTCATACCGAGGTCAGGAGGGGCTGGTGATCTTCATTCTCAAGAGTGGCCTGGGGCAGCTCAGTGGCCTTGTCTCCCGCTGCCCCAGCACCCACCTCTAGGCTTGGCTCTACACCCTAAAGAAAACAAAGGGAACTTCAGAAAACTATTGTCAAAGGATGGGGTTACTTTTGGAAGGGAGGAGGGGGGACTGAGGAAGTGGTTAGGACACACCAGATCCAATCAGACGACCTCTCAGCCACCCCTGCTGCCAGTCCCCCCAAAACTCGACTCAGGTCTTGTCAGCGTTCCCCACTCTTTCACTTCTACTGTAGGTGCACCTCCTTCCTTCCTGACTACCCCTCACCCCCACCACCAGCTGACAAAGGCAGCCAAACGACCACTGGCACACTTAGGGGCATCACCTGGGAGGGGCAACTCAAGCCGTCCCACTCCAGCCCCATTTCAAAGATGAGGCAACTGAAGCTGCGCATTTGCTCAAAGATGGCAGGGCTGGTGGATATCGGTCTCCTTATTCAGGTGCCAAGATTCCCCCTGCTGCAGAGTGTGCACTCCCATGTTCTGGAGGGTAGGGAGGGAGGCAGTGGGCACAGGAGAGGCTGGGGGAGCTCCTGGCTGCCCAGGGAGGAAAGGACAGCAGATGTCAGAAGGAGGCCTAGGTTCACGGGGACAAGGTCTGGTTGGCTCTGGTCTCCCCGCTGCCAGCTCCCTGCCACCCTGGCCTCTGTGGGCTCTTTTGGCTCTGGGGTCCCACAGAGGCCCATGCAGCCCCTCCCCACCCCTGCCGCTTGGCTGGCTGGTAAGATGTCATTGAGATTGGTAGCATGGGGCCGGGGAATCCCCCCTGTAAGAACAGTGGTCATGGGACACTGACTCACTGCCGGCCAGACCACCTGACCACGCAGCCGCAGGCAGAAAGGGCCCTGCCAGGGGGTTCCCCGGCCCTCGGCCTTGTTTACCTTTCCAGGCCTTGGGGGAGGGCAGGAGCACGGCAGGGTGAGGGCCGGCTCAGCAGCGGGGCATGCTGGGAAGGCCGGACCTGGGGCTCTCCAGGGGCGGGGGTCTCACGGGCTGCTTGCCAGGGCCCCATTTCCTGCCCCACCTTTCTCCCTGAGCTCTCCATCCTTCCTGGCAAACCCACCACGGCCCCAAATGGGGCCAAATAGCGAGAAAGCAAGGCATTCTGGCCATCGGCCTCTTCTCTGCTGCTTGTTTGCACGGGGCGTGCACCTAGGGCCCTTCCTGAAACCAGAGGCTCCTCAGAGCCACAGGGCTTGCCTTGTGCCCCCCACCCACTCGAAGCAGGATGCTGAAGCTGGGGCGGGGGTAAGGGGGGGGGGCGTGGGTGGGAAGCCTGCTCTAGGCCCAGCAGGGGCCAGGCTATGAAGCTCCCAGGCTGCTGAGTCACAAGCAGGGGCAGCTGTGGCCCGCTGCATCCTCCGCCCGTCTGCTGGGCAGTGGGCAGAGGACCACTTTCCCAGGCTCACAGTGGGGATGCAGGGAGGGGCCTGAGAGGGGACCATCCTCTCTACAGGCCAGTTTGGGCAGGGGTGTGAAGCTGTGCCTGCCCTGCCGTCCTCCGGGAAGTACCAGCCACATCTGCGGAAGGCCCTGCTGTGCTCCCATGGGCATATCACCTTCATACCTGACTAGCCAAATGCACCCAACCCTCTGTGGTCTCTGGGTTTCCCATCCCTTGAAGTTTTACCTGCTCGCACAAACCCCACTATGAAAGGACATGACTTTGATTCAGCAAGTCTGTACTTTCACTCACAGGACCTCACCTCGGAGACTTCATAGGCTGACATACCCTTCCCATCCACATCCTTCTGAGATCTCCAGCCCCCTTCCCCAGGCCTTGCGAACAGGTCACTTTCACACATAAAGCAGTGTCTCTCGGTTCCTAGCTGGAGGGCTGTTGCTCTGAGGCCCTTGGATATAACCTGCTGAACTGAACCCAGGCGCCCCTGGGGAGTCTCTCACGTTGCAGTGACCACGTTGTGACCACTGAGGCTCCAGGAAGCTTTAGTTGGCCGTCCAGCTGGGGTGGAGTTGGGGGGGCAGATTCTGAGCTCTTCCCCTATTCAACTGGGAGCTTCTCTGATGGTCAAGTCTGAGTTGGGGGTATGTCCCTCACCCAGTAAGGGGCTGTGACCAGGGAACCAGGCTAGGCCGTCATGGAGGATGTTGGGTATGGTGGAGTGGGCTGCCACCTGGGAAGCTCGTTCCTTCGAATGGATGGGGGGCTCCTAAGAGTGGCAGGGTCAGGACAGCACCTCTGGAGCCAGTTTGTTGTGGCCGGCGGTGCCTGCTGAGCGCCTGGGAACCTCCTGGCTTCGGGCCTCTGTTGCGCCCCTCCCTCCGGAGCTGGGCATCCCCGGGCGACCCGGGTTCTGCTCTGCTGAGTCACCGTCAGATTCACGCCTGGGAGGGGTCAGGGCGGGACCCCTGCGGGTCCCTCCCCAGGTGCAGAGGCCGGAGTCCAGACATCTGTCAGATCGCTCGGCCGGCCTCTTGGGGTCCCCGGTGCACTAGGGACACTGAGGAGAGGGGTCGCCAAGGAGGGGGTACGGGCGGCGGCGACGGGATGGAGGGAGCGGCAGGCGCGGGGCCCCCGCAGGGCGGCTCGCGAGCCGCGGGCCTGGCAGTGGGGGCGGGGCCAGGCACGCTAGGGCCCCGCCCCCAGGAGGCCGGGCGGGGCGGGGCTTCTCGCTCTCCCTATAAAAGCCGCGCGGCGGTTGAGGCCGCCGCCTGCTGCGCTCCTGCTTCCTGACCGGTGTGATGGCGTCGCTCACCGTGAAGGCCTACCTTCTGGGCAAGGAGGACGCGGCTCGCGAGATCCGCCGCTTCAGCTTCTGCTTCAGCCCGGAGCCGGAGGCGGAAGCCGAGGCGGCGGCGGGCCCCGGGCCCTGCGAGCGGCTGCTGAGCCGGGTGGCCGCCCTGTTCCCCGCGCTGCGGCCCGGCGGCTTCCAGGCGCACTACCGCGGTGAGCGGGCGGCGCCCTCGGGGCGGCGCGGGGCCGTGACGCAGGCGGCCCGCGAGGGTGGCCGTTCCTTGCTTGTCGTCGGGCCCGGTGGTGTCTGCGGGGGTCTGTTCTGGCGGCTCACTGGATGGGCGGCGGCCGGCGTGGGCCCCAGTTCGGCCTCGGGTGCCAGCCTAGTGACCGGGAGTGGTGACCAAGGCCGGCGCCTCTGGGGCTAGGCGCTGCCTGGCTCTCCGGGCGGATCTCGGGCCCGGGGGCGGGAGGCGCCACCCCTCCCCCCGCCATGATGTCGCAGATCTTGGCGAGGGCGCGCTTGGGCGTCCTCGCCGGTTCGCGGCGGGCACGGGCTGGTCAGGCGGACACTCAGGTTACAGACGTCTTGCTTTGCCGAGTCTGGGGCTGCCGGCGCCAGGTAGGGGGTTCAGATAATGCCCCCGAGGCCCTAGGCCGGGCGGGCAGACGCGTAGGCAGGGGAGGCAGGGAGAGGAGTGACGCGGGTAAACAAGCGTGGGGTGCGGGGCCGGGGGCGGTGCGGGCCGGCGGGGAGGAGACGGGGACGGACCGCAGAACGCCCGGGCCGGGCCGAGTGCAGGCGTTATCCCGTTGGCAGCGGTCAGAGGAACACGACCACGACGTTTTTCAGAAGTGTTAGTGTAGGGACAGAAGCCCGGGAACTAGCTCAGTGTCTTGCGGTACTGGTGTGACTAGTGGCTTCTGGGGTGGGGTTGGGAAGGTTTTTGTGGCTGGGAGGAGGCGGGCAGCCAAGGCCGGCCCCTGGGAGGGGCAGTGCTGGGACCTCCCTCAGGAGTGCTGCCAGCTGGCTAGATCCTGGCTGGTTTTGTTTTCTTTTGTAACGATTTTATTGAGCTATAATTCATATACCATACACTCACCCATTTAGAGTGTACAATTCCAGCATATTCACAGGTTTCTGCAATCATCATTACAATTTTAGAAACTTTTCATCACTTTTTAAAGGAGTTCTGTACCCTTTAGCTCTCCTCCTATCCCTGTTATCTCACTCTGCTCCCCTCAGCCCCAAGCAACCACAAATCTCCTTTTTCTCTATGGATTTCCGTACTCTGGACATTTCATATAAATATATAAATGGAGTCATACAATTATAGTCTTTTTTTTTAAACACTTAAAAAATTTTTCTCCTTTTTCTCCCCAAAGCCCCCTGGTACATAGTTGTATATTTTTAGTTGTGGGTTCTTCTAGCTGTGGCATGTGGGCCACCTCAGCGTGGCCTTGTCTATGGCCAGGATCCGAACTGGCGAAACCCTGGGCTGCAGAAGCAGAGTGTGAGAACTTAACCACTCGGCCACGGGCTGGCCCCTGTATAGTCTTTCCTAACTGGCTTCTGTACTTAGCATGATGTTTTCAAGGTTCATTTATGTTGCAGCAGGTGTCAGTGCTTCGTCTCTTTTTGTGGCTGAATAAAACCCGTTTTACGGACATGCCACGTTTTGTATCCGTTCATTAGTTGATGGATGTCTCGGTTGTTGCCACACTTTGACACTGCTCTGTTCTTTTCTTTTCATTTTTAAAAATTTTATTATTTACTTATTTTTTTTTGAGGAAGATTAGCCTTGGGCTAACATCTGCTGCCAGTCCTCTTTTTTTTGCTGAGGAAGACTGGCCCTGAGCTACCATGCATGCCCATCTTCCTCCACTTTATGTGTGGGACGCCTGCCACAGCATGGCGTGTCAAGCGGTGCCATGTCTGCACCTAGGATCCGAACCGGCGAACCCTGGGCAGCCAAGAAGCAGAATGTGCGGGCTTAACTGCTGCGCCACCGGGCAGGCCCGACACTGCCCTGTTCTTATGGTAGACGTGGCATCTGGTGGCCCCCAGACCTGGCCGGCCTGCAGATGCCCTGTGGTGCTTTACAACCATTTGAGCCAGCATCTGTGAACTGGCGACTGCGTACCAACACCTAAGTTTGGCTTTGTGGGGGAGGAAGCAGGCAGGTGTGTTTGTCTACTTACTCTCCTAAGCCACAAGAGGCTCAGGCTTTTGGAGGAGCTGGGCGCCCCCAGGAGCAGGCCACAGGTGGGGATCGCCCACTGTTGAAGATGGGCCTGGACCTGGTCAGCTGTGGACTGAGGCAGCCCCTTCTGAAGGGCCAGGTGGCAGCTACTCCCGCTGCTGCCCCTGCGCACACGGGCTGCCTCCTGAGCGCCCGGGGCCCAGGTTGGAGTGTGTCCTTCCAGGCAGTGGCAGAGTGAATGGGCAGAGCGGGGGCAGTCTGGCCTCAGCCCAGCTTCCCCCTGGCTCAGACAGGTGGGCTTCGGTTTAGAGCCCTGCAAGTGCCCCTTTGGCACTGGCCTCAGCCCTTTTCGGTGCTTGTGTCCAGCCTTGAATCCCTGAGTGCTCACGTACTGTCTTGTAAACAATCCAGATGAGGATGGGGACTTGGTCGCCTTTTCCAGCGATGAGGAACTGACGATGGCACTGTCATACGTGAAGGATGACATCTTCCGCATTTACATTAAAGGTAAGGGGCTGCTTTAGGGGGCTGCCTGAAGCCGGGTGCTCCCTGCTGAGTAAAACCAGCTTGAGATTATAGAGAAATTCCCCCAAGGAAGGGTCGAGGAACTTGGGCTGTTTAAGACGGGAACGTAATCATCGCTGGGCTTGGCCTGAGAAAGGAGTCTGGATCCACCACGGCAGGGGTTGGAGGGTCTCCGGGTTCATTCTGGATTGTGCCCAGACCAAGCGCCATGGGCTGGGGCGACTTTGGGGGCACTGTGGGGTCTATTTTAGTGAGGGGTAAGGCCACAGTGGTGCAGACACAGCTCCCTGCTGCTGCTTTTCTGTGTGGGTCTTACGTGTCCGGGTAACAGGTATGGGGACTGGGGAACCTCCTGGCAGATTCTCAGGTGGCTTTCTTGCTGTCACTTGAGCAACTGAATTCTGTATGGACTTGGTGTCTGGTCTCCTGACAGTCCCGCGGTGGTGACAAGCGGGAGACTTCATGGGGCCCCACCTCTCATCTCTCTGCCCTCCCTGCAGAGAAGAAGGAGTGCCGGCGGGACCACCGCCCCCCGTGTGCTCAGGAGGCCCCTCGCAACATGGTGCACCCCAACGTGATCTGCGATGGTTGCAACGGGCCAGTGGTAGGGACCCGCTACAAGTGCAGTGTCTGCCCTGACTATGACCTGTGTGCCAGCTGCGAGGGGAAGGGCATGCACAGGGAGCACAGCAAGCTTGCCTTCCCCAGCCCCTTCGGGCACCTCTCTGAGGTGAGCAGGGCCTCCCTGTGGGCCTGGGGCAGCCGTGTGGTGGCAGGAGCCCACTGACCTGGCACCGCCCTGCCCTTCCACTTGCTCTTCCCCAGGGTTTCTCTCACAGCCGCTGGCTCCGCAAGCTGAAACACGGGCACTTCGGGTGGCCTGGCTGGGAGATGGGCCCACCAGGAAACTGGAGCCCGCGTCCTGCTCGAGCAGGGGATGGCCGCCCCAGCCCTGCTGTGGAATCTGGTGAGGCTTTTGTCTTCTGGCTTTTGAAGGGCGAGATGGGAGGGCTGGCGGAGTTGCCTTCCCCGTGTCCTGAATTCCTCCTGTGCCTGTGCCTGGGCTGGGCACTTCACGGCCGCTCGTGGCATTTGACCCTTGTGAAACCCTGCAGGTGTGGCGCATGATCTCCATTTTATGCATGGGAAAACTGAGGTACCTAAGTGCCCACGGCCACTAATTTTCTTGCACTAAACCAGCCTAGACCCTGCCACCCTGCTCCCGCCTTGCCACTCTGCCCTTCTCAGGTGCCCTCCCGGACAGGCCGGGAGGCCCTCCCAGCATCTGTGTCTCTCGCATGCTCCCTTCTCCTCTTGTGTGTTAGCAGCCAGGAAAGTCACAGGCAAACTTGTCAAATCTACTTAAACATAGTCACAAAGTTCAAAAACTTCCACATAGCTAACACTCTAGATTTTTGGATTCTGGGTTTTATTCTGATTTTATTAATCTTATTGTGTCCTGTGATTCATCTCATTCTTTGGGACAAAGGTGGGGATATTTGTTTGATTTTAAGTCAATAACATATTTAGGATGTGGCCAGTATTTTATACTGTGTACTGGGTCCCCCATGGGCTTCCAAGCACCAGGGTCACAGACAAAGGGGGAGCCGTTCTGGAGGAGGGAGGGCCCAGGGAGTGGCTGGAGCCGGAGGGAGAGAGGAAGGTGCTGGGAGGGTAGGCAGCCAGGACGTGGCCTGGGGGAGGCGCCTGAGGCGGGGCAGGTAGGACTGAGACAGCCATCCAGGTCATTGAGAAGTACACTCTGAATTAAGGATACCTTTGTTTTGTTTTGTTTTGTTTAAATCAAAGCTTCTGGACCATCGGAGGATCCCAGTGTGAATTTCCTCAAGAACGTAGGGGAGAGTGTGGCCGCCGCCCTCAGCCCTCTGGGTAAGTGGCTACCCTGTCTGTCCTTCGGTGTCGGCAGGCCGTGTTGGTAAGTCGGCGTGTTGGGTGGCCGTTGGTGGCCTTCCCTGGGACGCTGTGGAGGCGTGGTACTGCTGGACCGTGAGACTGTCAGGATTTGTTGCCTCACGTGGCCCTTTGCCGAGTGTTGTACCACCGGCCACTCAAGGGTGAATGCCCTGACAGATTCGTGAGCTTTCACGTGGAGTGGAGTAGGATGAGCCAGCACTTGGTTGGGATAATCCCGCTAGGGAGGGTGACCAGGCTCAGTTGCAAGGCTGCTCAGCGTCTGCCTGTCCGTCCTCTGGGGGAGAGCAGTCTGCATATCCCCTAATGTGAGCCTTGGGCTTCACTCAAGGGCTTGGGTGAGTAGTTAGTTGAGATGCCATTTCTCTTTTCCTCCTTTTCTTGCAACCCCCAACGTTTCCGGGTACTTCCTGAGTGCTGGGCTTGTGCCAGGAGCAGGCAGGGATGGAGGAAGGTGCTGTGTGACACCAGGGTCACAGTAGGCCCCTGGGTGGGTGAACCACAGTGTGCACCTCCCACAGTGGTGTGACCTGGCCAAGCAAGTGTCCATCATGTCTGCTAGCCTGGCCGGGGCGCTGCAGGGCGAGGCCCTGCGGCACTGGGAATCAGCCGGTGAAGGGGACTTCTGGTTCAGTGCTACGATGGGTCCACGCTCTCAGATGAGAAGAGAGCTCAGCTTGGTGACTGCTGTGGCAGGAACTGTCCAGTGTGACCAAATGTTGTCCCCAGGGGCCAGCCCAGTGGCGCAGCGGTTAAGTGCACATGTTGCACTTCGGTGGCCTGGGGTTCGCTGGCCCGGATCCCGGTTGTGGACATGGCACCCCTTGACAGGCCATGCTGTGGCAGGCGTCCCACATATAAAGTGGAGGAAGATGGGCACGATGTTAGCTCAGGGCCAGTCTTCCTCAGCAAAAAGAGGAGGATTGGCAGCAGTTAGCTCAGGGCTAATCTTCCTCAAAAAAAAAAAAAAAGTTGTCTCCAATGTCTGAAAAAATGCTGATAGGAGGGTGCCCAAACCCCACCTACCCGCCACCCTGTGGCTTACAGGGCATGACTGCCATTGCTTCCAACCTGAGACTGTTTTTGCTCAGTGCTCACTCTGCCCCAGGACGGGATGCAGCTTGGAAGCAGCAGTGACATCTGGGCATTGCTGCTACCTGAAACAGCTGAGATCATACATGGTTTCCATTCTGGAGTTAGAGGCTCCCAGTGAATGAGGAAAAAGAATTGATATTCCTTTTTTTTTTTTTTTTTTGCTGAGGAAGATCATCCCTGAGCTAACATCTATGCCAGTTTTCCTCCACTTTATATGTGGGTCGATGCCACAGCATGGCTGATCAGTGGTGTAGGTCCACGCCCAGGATCCAAACCCATGAACCTGGGCCACTGAAGTGGAGTCCGCCAAATTTAACCACTATGCTACAGGGCCAGCCCCAACTGATATTCTCAGTGCTTTCCAAGGAGGATAAAACAGTGGGGCAGTGCTCAGATTATAATTGGGAGATAAGCTGTGTCTACACTCTGTCTGCCACTCCCTTAAGAACCAGTGAAGGTGTGAGAGAGTGAGTAGTTTTGAGAGATGGTCACCTAACTAACTGGCTGTTACTGAGGGGCCATGGGAAGTTTCTCTTTAAGAGACAGTAAACGGGCAGTGCTTCTCAGGCCTGGCTGAGCATCAGAATCACCAACAAAGGTTTGGGGTTTTTTGGGTATATATTTTGGTGTATGGAAACTTCATTAAAGTTAATTATTTTGAAGAACAGAGTCCTTTACTAAAAGACTGGGTGGGACGACCTGGGAAGTCACAAACCAAGTGTAGGTTTAGGTGGAGAACTTTCCAACCGTGCGGAGTCCCAAGGCCCAGCTTCCTGATGCTGGTAAGTAGGTGTTGGCTCGGGCCCAGGATCTGTGCGTTTTGAAGGCTTCCCAGGTGTCTCTGGATTGCACTTGGCCACCCTGAGACCCATCTGAGCTTGTGGAGTGTTTCAGAACGTGACCTGGATTCCCCACTCAGGATACATGGGAATAATTTTGGAAGCGCTCACAGGTCTTTTGGGATAGGATAAAGGTCTTTTCAGGTCTTTCAAAGCGGATAGAGCTGCTTTCTTCCAGCCAGGGAGAGCCCTGGAGCTCTGCAAAACGAGGAGGCTGGGCAGAGCGTGCCTGTGCGTAGTTCCCGTGGAGGAGAGCCATCGGAGGCGCAGATTAGACTACTGTTGGAGTTAGGGTATTTTCCTTTCTCGTGAGGAACTGACAGGCGGGAGGACCACGCTGCTGCCTGCCTAGGAGGGACTGTCCCCAGAGCAGTCCGTGGCAGTGAGTCAGTGACCTGAACGTAAAAACCCAACGCCTTTTTTTGGTGAGAGGTGTGAGAGCCGCTGGAACTGGCCCACCGCCGAGGCTCAGGACTGTTCCTGGCTTGAGGTTGTAGTCCCTGACGTCTAGGACTTCAAACAGCAGGACCTTTCCTTGTCACAGGCTCTTCCATAAACACCCCACACACACAGGCTGTGGGGCATCGGGGCACAGACTGTCACGGTCTTGTGAGCCCTGAAGTCTTGGGTTCATCACTGGGTTGGGGAAATCCTTGCTCTGTAACCTCTGATCCGGCTACGGCAGAGTCACATGATTGACCCATTTAACAAAGTGAGGGGCCAGCCCCATGGCCTGGTGGTGAGGTTTGGTGTGCTCTGCTTCAGCTGCCTGGGTTTGCAGGTGCGGATCCCGGGCGTGGACCTACACCACTCATCCGCCATGCTGTGGTGGTGGCCCACATATAATGTAGAGGAAGACTGGCAGAAATGTTAGCTCAGGGTTCATCTTCCTCAGGGGAAAACAAAAGAAGTGAGACAGTCATGGGTGTTCAGTGTACTGTTCTTCCAACTTTTCTGTTTGCTTGAACCTTTCATAATGAAAAGTTGGGGGGAAATGGAAGGGGAAAAACAATTTAAATATTGCAGATGGGGGTACTGGTACGTGAGCCTGCTTTTATCTCTGTTCGATTCTCAAACAGTACAGGGATTTAAAAAAAAGTATAAAGCCACATGGACAAAGAAAAGGGAAAAAAGTCATAGAGGACAAGATAAAACGATGTTATCCAACGTTGGAAGATGGGAAATGGGTGGAGGGTGGTAACCAGCAGTGGAGGCATCAGAACCCTATGCGCCTGTGCAGGGATTCTGCTGAGAAGTGACACCAGCTGCTCAGGGACCACGAGAGGCCAGTGAACAAGGGAGAAGTTGAAGTTCTCTGTTAAGGATTACATAGCGACTTCAGGGCCCCACTCAGCCTGATGACAGCCCTCGCCAGCCCTTGCAGCAGCCCTGATGTTTAATTCCTGAAGTGCTTGGCCTAGGGAAGCTTCAGCTCTGGGGACACCAGGGACAGAAGGTGGGGTGAGGCGCCAGCCTGAAATGGACATCATGAGTGAGCATGGGTCCAGCAGGAGCTCAGGGATGCCTGCTCAGGAGAGGCTGCATGTGCCAGAGAAGCTTCCTGCAGCTCTGCCATCTAGGATCCAGTGCCTGCCAGGCCTCAGCCACCCTGCAGATGGGATGTGGCCTGGCCCTGGGGAGAGTGCTTCCTGCAGCCTTCTCCTCGTGCTCCCTAGGACCAGACAGTCACGGGCAACAAACCGTTTGGAAAAACCTCTGCACATGGGAGAGAGGGAACTTGGGGAAGGACTTAGGGAGAGAAGGACAACATCCTCAGTGAGATACAAAAAAGTATTTGTATCCATGAAAAGAGAACAGGATACCATTGGGGCCAGCCCCATGACCTAGTGGTAAGTTTGGCACACTCCACTTTTGCAGCCTGCGTTTGCAGGTTGCATGTGAACTTAACTGCTAACCGCTGGCCTTCCCCATCTTTAAAAAAAAAAAAGAAGGCTTAGATTTTAAGATCATCTCAAGGAAATATTCCAGAAGCAAAACAAATAGAGGCAGGAGAGGAGAGATGAAAAAATTCAAGGATTAATCTTGGAGGCCCAAAATAGGATGACTAGGAATTCCAGAAAGAGCAGAGAAAGCTGAAGGGGGGAACTTAACAAAGACTACAAGACAATTTCTTGGCCCTGAGGACATTAACCTCTGGGTGGTAAGGAACCCCTTGGACAGTGACTGAAAATGACTCCCCAACAAAGCTTGTCGCTGTCAAGTGTCAGAACCTTTAGGATGGAGAGGCTCCCCCCCTCCCCAGATTACTGGAAAGGCTTGGGGGAAGACGGCACGGCACTGGGAGCTGGAAGACAGTGCACAACTAGTGATTTCCAAAGTCAGCTAAAATGGTTTTCCAACCTAGAATTCTATACTCAGCTAAAATGATCAGGTGTGAGGGCAGAACAAAGTTGTTTCCAGGTCTTCTTCATCTTAGCTGGGCTTGAACCCCCCCTCCAGCCAACATGAATGAACAGAGAGGTCCTCAACAAGGGGACCCAGCACAGGAGGGAGACTATGGCTGTCACCAGGATGGGAGGAGAGGCAGTCGTGGTGGAGTAGCTGTGCCCCTGGCCTGGAGAGCTGCCGGTCCAGGGGGAGCCAGAGGCTGCCGCCAAAGGGACGGTCTCCAGGGACAAACCAGAACTGCAGGGTATCAGCATGCTGAAGCGCTGTAGAAACCCTCTAGAGAAGCTGTTGGAGAACAGGGAGAGTTAGCCGTGAGAGAAAAGGGCGTTGCTACTGCTGCAAACCCCACACTCCGAGGAAATAATCAAGTTGCTCCTCGGCCCACAGACAACAACATTCCTGCCATGGCACTAACAGACACGGAATGCTGTTTTCACTACAAGTTGAGCTTTTGAAAGGATGGGGAGGGGTGACTGGATCTTCTAGAGTAGGAAATAAACAGAATGGGAGCCGTCGGGGACCGGATGGGCTAGGCCGTATATTGGGGGAGGCAGGTCTTTTTCACTAGAGCCTTCTGGGCTGTTTGACTCTGAGCTGTGGGCATGTAGTCCTTTGATAAATTAAAACTCATTAAAAACACAGCGCTGGTGATTGTGCCCTCCCTCCCCATCAGTGAGCATGTGCCCGGAGCACGAGAGACTGGAGGTGGACATTTGGGGCTGTGCTTCCTGCCTCATGGCCCACAGGAAGCTGGCATGGCTGTCTGCCCTCTAAGCAGAATCCCGTGTTGCAGTGGGGGTAGTTTTCACAGTGCCAGGCCCCACCACAAAAGCACCGTGCTTCGTGTGGTCCCCAGTGCTGGGCTGGGGGATTTCTGGTCACGTGTGGGATTGGCTGCCACCCTGTTCCTAGGGCCTGGCCCTGCCTGCCGTGTGGCTGCTGTCCTGCATAGTTAGGGAAAAACAAGGTCTCTTTATGGACTTTCTGGCTCTGAAGCTTATCTGGGATGTTAGCTGAGGTTAATGTTTTACTACGTTGGAGAAAGAGAAAAGTCCAGTGAGGTGGGCATGTCAGCAGAGTTTTGTAGAAACCAAGAAAATCTGGGGCTGGGAGATGGGGAGGAGCACTTCAGCCCTCGGGACCCCGCAGATCACAGATAAGCATCCATTTGCCTTCTGGCTGCTGGGTTGGCAGACTGGCCCCATCCTGTACCAGCTCTGTGACTCTGGGTTCTGTACTGGGTGCCAAGGTCTGCATCCACACGCGCTCGTGGGGACTAGATTTGAAAGAGCTTTGTAAGCCCACAGTCCCCCAAGTGATGAATCTTGCCTGCAGGTTAGCCCTCTGAAGGACTTAGATTTCTGTTTCCTCCGTGGCCTCTAGGTATCGAAGTTGATATTGACGTGGAACATGGCGGAAAAAGAAGCCGCCTGACCTCCGTCTCTCCAGGCAGCTCCAGCACAGAGGAGAAGTGCAGCTCTCAGCCAAGCAGCTGCTCTTCCGACCCTAACAAACCGGATGGGGACATGGAGGGCACAGCGCAGTCTCTGGCAGAGCAAATGAACAAGATAGCCCTGGAGTCGGGGGGGCAGCCTGAGGCAAGCACCCTCCTGCCTGTCCCGGGCTGCGCCCCGGCGCGTCTCCCATCCCTCCAGCCACAGCACCCCCCCGCCCCCCCCAGCACCTACGCAGCCAGTGAGACCCCGTTTGTCACGGAGTTAATTCTGTGGCACTTAAGTTATTCTGTGAACCTCCCGCTAGAACTCTGTAAAGAAAAATGCTTGCCTGTAGCTCCTTGCTGTCCTCCACACCCCCTTGCCCAGGCGCTGGGGCTGCCGTCGGGGCCTGTTGCACACATCCCTCGTGTGCTCATGGGTGTTCTGTTCCAGGAACAGATGGAGTCTGATAACTGTTCAGGAGGAGATGACGACTGGACTCACTTGTCTTCAAAAGAAGTGGACCCATCCACAGGTGAACTCCAGTCTCTACAGATGCCTGGATCCGAAGGGCCAGGCTCTCTGGACCCTTCCCGGGAAGGACCCACAGGGCTGAAGGAAGCTGCGTTGTACCCACATCTTCCACCAGGTAAGTGATTTCAAGCTGTTTTGTATTTCTTTTTCATTCGGAGCACCCTATTACCTGCCTTTAGCAACACAAGAAGATGGCGTGTTCTCTACTATGGGGCTCGGCTACTGACATGAGAGAAAACTGCGAGTTGGTTTTCTCTGGTGTCTATACTGAGCCCCAGTGAGCACAGCTCATTTTAGTAATTTCTAATTAGCATCCAGACCCAGAATCGCGAAGGCAGATGTGGTGTAGAAGGTGGCACTGGCTCTGGCCTGCCGTGCGCTACTAAAAGTGGACTCAGAGTCCATCCTCACTGTTTCCGCACGAAGGCAGCTTCGAGCAGGGGCCACAGCCACGATCTCTGTAAGGAGCCAGGCAGGCAGCTGTCTGAAGCAGGGGGTGCGGAGGGTGGTGGGTGGGACCTGGCAGCCAGAGCGCACACTGATGAAAGAGGCGGCCGATGCCTGCTCTACCTCATCACTCTCCACGGCGACGAGGGTTAAAACAATATTCAAGTGAAAACCCATCTGTGGGCCGAATTTTGCCCTTGGGTCACCAGTCTATCTCCTCTGCCTGAGAGCAGGGTGCAGCCTATGGGCCAAGAATGATTTTTTCATGTTTATAATGGTTGGAAAAAAGTTAAGACATATGAAAATTATATGAAATTCAAATTTCAGCATCCAGAAATAAAGTTTCATTGGAACGCAGCTGTGCTCATTTGTTCACATACTGAACCTAAGTCTGGCTGCTTTTATGCTGAGGGCAGAGTTGAGAAGCTGTGACAGACCAGGCAGCCTGCAAAGCTGCTTACAGTCTCTCATCTCTGGTCTTTTATGGAAAAACCTTGCCAGCCTCTGCCTCGGAGGGTTCCTGTGAAGAGCTGGGCCCTGCAGATACTGGGCGCTTGCTGGCTGGACAGGGTGCTGCTGTGTCTGGACTCCATGGGGCCCAGCAACTGTCCCTGACGGCTCTCATTACTCTCTGGCAGAAGCTGACCCCCGGCTGATCGAGTCCCTCTCCCAGATGCTGTCCATGGGGTTCTCCGATGAAGGCGGCTGGCTCACCAGGCTCCTCCAGACCAAGAATTACGACATTGGGGCTGCCCTGGACACCATCCAGTATTCGAAGCACCCCCCGCCGTTGTGACAGTTTTTCCGCACCTGCTCTGTGTCCCTTTCTTGTCTCATAGTTGTGTTGAGCTAGTGTAGAACCCTAGGGCCTCTGTGAGGGCCACTTTCTCTGTATTTTTCTTCCAGGCTCTGGGGGCGGGGATGCAAGAAGCCATTAGGGCAGGAGGACAAGCAGCAGGAGTGGGGAGTTGAACGTGCACATGTCTGAGAAACACCAGCTTCTCTCGGGTAGCCTGGCCGGGCCCCAGAGGCTTCCTCTGGCAGAGCGAGACTCCTTGCTCGAGGACACCGAGGCCACACTGCATCACATGCCTGCTCTCCCCCCAGGATTACACCAGCAGCCCAGAACATATCTTGCTCATTCGCCTTCTGCTTTTTCTTTTTTTAAATGACTAATAGTACGCTGATATGTAGGTGATTTTCTGCTAGAAACCTGATATACTCAGGTTTAGCGTCCAGCCAACATTCTGTCGGGGCAGAGGCAGCGGTCCTGGAGCAAGTAGGGGAGGACAGCCCCGCACTGTGGCCTTCCTATGTGGGGATCAGAAGAGGTAGATAGTGGAGGCAGTGGTGTTCACTGAGTCCTGTCTCTGTTTCATAACCACTAGAGTTCCCTCACTTCCAAATGTGTCAGTTGCTTTTAAAGTGAGAAAATCCTTTTGTGGCCATTCTGTTATATTTGTAAACACTCAGTAATTAAATGGTATAAGCACTTTAATCAAAGATGTTGCAACAAGAGATGATCTGTTTGATAGTGATTTTTATTGTCAGTTCTCGGTAGTTCCCATAAATCATCCTCAGTCCTATTTAAAAGCAACTTAGGGAGCCCTATTTCCAGTGGCATACGGTCTAGTGGCGAAGGGCTCATTTAACAAATGTGTCTAAATTTACAATATACTAGTCTTGGTTCACAGATCATCATCAAAGTCCTCACCGGTTTTAAAGAGGTCACATAGATGCATGAGTGGGGGCTCCTGTGTCCCTCTGACTGAGGGCCCACCCTCTGCCCGATGTGCTGTGCCCCACAACTGCTCAGGGGCCTTCCCACAGGGCCTCTTGGGCCCAGATGTGAGAGTGTGTGTGGCCTCAGGAAGCTGGGGTGCACCGGGGGACCTGCTGAGGAGCCTTTCTCTTGGGGTCTGGGTCCTGAGGGTCCCCTGCTCAGCCTGTGTTGGCTCAGCTGGCCTGAGGCCTCTGTGCAGGGGTGTTGGGGGCTCCATGTCCACGTGTGAGCTGCTTCCAGGTGGCAGAAGAAATCGTTCCCACTTAGAAGACACGGGCCTGAGCTGCTGGGCAGGATGTGATGGTGCCCCCTGAGGAACAGTGAGCTCCCTGGTGTCCCAGTCCTCGTGACTGCTTCTTTCTTTGATGTTCCCTGCCAGGCCCACGCGGCCCTGAAATGGAAACGACAGCAGATGGCCATAGCCTCCATTCAGAATAAGTGCCCCCTGCCCAGCGGGACTGAGGGACAGGAAGAGAAGGGTCCTCTTGCCTCCACTGCCACATCCTCATCTCTGCCTCAGGATTCTGACATTTTCTGCTCCATCCTCTACTTACTAGCTAGTCCTCAGGCTGGCAGGCTAGGGACGTGCTTTGATTTTGAGATTTAGCAAAGCAAATTAATGCCCTCAACCTCACCCCAAATCCTCTGCTCAATTCTATTGACCAGGCTTACCAAAAATGCAAGATACTCTCATGCAATCAGGCGATCATCTCATGGGGACCTTAGGATCAGGGAAGAGGGCGCTTGTGAGGCAGTGCAAGCAAGAAGGGCCCTAGAGACCATCTGGGAGGGGATGGAGACACTCCATCCTGCCTGCTCAGTGCCAGTCGGATGGGGAAAGTCTCTGCAGAACTGTGTTGAGGGTTTCGAAACTGGGAGTGGCTGCACAAAGGCACCTGTGGGATCCAACAATAATGCTGGGTCCTGGCTTCTCCCTTCCACTTGAGGAACCAACGATGCATGAAAATTGGGTTTCACTGCCTACAAAGGGATTTGAAAGCAATGAGAGGTGGGATCCTGCATCAGCAGCCCCAGGCAATGTGGAAGTGTCGCTGCCACTGACTGACTGTGACCTCACTGAACCACTCTGCCAGCCTTGGTCCCTCATCTTCAAAACAAAACAGTCCTGTGTTGAGCACTGAACATGATAACGCAGTGGAAATGCTGAGCTCAGGGACGGGCATATGGTAGACTCAGTAACTGTCATTATCATTATTCTAGCATTTGGAGACTCAGGGCCACATCTTTACACAGCTAGTTGGTGGCAACACCAAAGTTTGACCTCCCCACCATGGCCTATGTTGGGGGGTAGCAGTGACTGACACCCAGCTGAGTTCCTCTGCCTCAGTGCTGGCAGCTCCCATGACAGTGGAAAGCATTCTGTGGCCTTGGAAGTGCGGTGGGTCTGAAGCATCAGGAACAACTCCAGATCCTAGGTGAAGAGAGTGTCTCAAGTGCAAAAGAATGCATGTGGGTGAGTGAAGGGGAGGATGACACAGTTGCTCAGAAAGCCAAGGCAGGTCCCATGCGACAGTCTGACAAAGAGCTCCACTCTATGCGGAACGGAGAGAGCAGTCCTGACTCAGAAAAGCCCTCCTGGTCAACCTGGGCTGCCGCCAGGGCATCAAGACACCCCTTTGACCAGAAGTTAACACTACCGAGAGGATGAGTGTGGCAGGGAAACAGGCCACAGGCCAGAGAAAGGAGCTGGCTTCGGACAGAGAAGACAAGACATCTGGGTGTTAAAAAATCCTGTGTGTGCCCAATGGTCACTGGGACCAGAAGAGAAATGCTGTCTTCAATCACTGACCTGGGGCTCCAAGGTGAGCTCAGAGTTGCCTGAGTCCTGGCCGTCAGGAAGCTGAACCGTGCTCTGGCTCCATTTCCTGGCAGAGAGAAAGTGCTGTCAAGAATCCAGTCCTATCACTGCACAGCGGCCAGATCCTGACTCCATGGTCATCTGGTCTGACACCCAACACAGGTGAGGACCTTGTCTTCCTTACAGTTTCCCAGGTGCCTGGCTCAGCTCGTACCGCTGGTCCCCTCCAGACAGTAACAGGCTGCCCACCTACATACAAGGCGGTCCACTCTGCTCCACAGCTTGTAGTTATTAGAAAGTTCCTATTTTGAACTGGAACCTACCTCCCAATAGCGCCTGCCCCATAAAAGCCACCAAAGACCTGGATAAGGCAGTCTCAAAAACCTCACAGAAACGCACAGTACGTCTGCAGAAGAAACCTATACAAGTCTTTCCTGCTCTAGGCTGAAAGCTCCCAGCCACAGTGGCTACTTGAGCCGTATGTCACTTTCTCAGCCCTGCCCACAAAATAAATTCCTCCCGAGATCAGTGCCATCGGCTAGGCAGCACTACCTGAACATCGAAAAGGCACCCACGCTGGGTCCTGCCCGGCCCGACCCCTGCAGAGCAGCGCCTGGCCAGTAGCGCCTGGTGGTGACGGCACCCACTAGCTCACCCACGTTGCCACGTTGCTGCCCATTAGAAGCCGATCATCAGCGCCCATCCGTGAGTCACCGGGAGCGGGGCAAGGGCTGGCACCTTTTCCTTGGCAGGCCTGTCCTGAAGGGGGGCTCTGGCTCCTCCGTCTTGGCCTGGGGCTGTCGGCTGAAACCCACTCCTCCTTCCAGCCGCAGTCCTTTGGAGGCCCCTTCCAGATCCTTCATCCAGCCCTTCTCTGAGGGCTGCGGCTTTCCCTACAGGATGGGGTGTTTATTTCAGAGTTGGAAAGCAGGCACTTTTACTGAAAATCCCCAGCCCAACTCTGAGGCCCGAGGGTCTCAGGACCCATGTCTCCCGTCACCAGGAGAGGCATTTGGCTGGAGGGCAACAGAGAGACAGATGTCCTGAGACACCACTGGCACCCTGGCACAGGCTGTGCAAAAGCTGTTGGGCACAGCTTATCAAGAACTTTGCAAATGTCCACGCTCTCTGGCCCAGTGGTTCCAAAGGAAGACAGAAGCACAAATATGCTCATCAGAGTGTTATAAATAACAACAAATATTTATAGTAGCAAAAGGTTGGAAATAACCTAAATGCCCGATAAGGGAATAAATATGGGTATGTCCACTATATTCTGTAGAAACTTTTAAAAATGGCAATCATTGAAAACCATATAGCAACACAGAAGAATGACATGCAACAAGAGCTCCCGTGTTAAAGTGGTGTGTTTAGGAGCATTCCCTGTCTACAGAAACAATCTGAAGGGCATGTGGAGAGGGCTCGCCCAGTGTGACTGAGCGCGACAGTGGGGCTCTGTCCTCAGGTGGGCAGGGAGCCTGTCTGACAGTTGTTCCCATTGCCCCTGCCCCGGCAGGACACAGTGTTCCACACACCAACGGCAGCCCCTACTCACTCAAGCTCCGACCGATACCGCCCCCACACTGATGGAGCACCTACGTCACCAGGCACAGATACAGAACCTCTTTCTGGCTCTCAGGCTGTGGAGCACACACGACCCAGGCGTTCCACGACAGCACCCCTCCCCCACCAGAAGTTTGCCCAGCGCTGTGGGACAAGGGAGGAGCACAGGAGGCGAAGTGCAAGCCGAGTTCAGAGTTCTCCAAGCCCTTTTCATGGAGCATTGTAATTATTTGTACACGTGGCTGTTTCTACCCTCACAAAAGGGACAGCTTTATTCATTTTTGTGTTCCCTATAGCTTTAAGCCAAGTGCCTGTCATTTGGTGGCATCAGCAAGTGTTTGCTGAATAAAACAAATGAAACTCCCTCCTGTGACAAAAAGCCAGCCCAGGTGGCTGAGCCAAGACAGGTGGTGCTGGCTTACCTGCAGCCTCGCGTGCTCAGCCTGCCAAGGACCTGCATTTTCCTCTTCACCGGCATTTACAGGTTCTTCCAAAGACCTTAGAGAAAGATTATACATAGGTTCTCTTGAAAATGACCAGGAAGATCAAGGACAGGGAAGACGGGAACAGCAGGATGTAAGGACTTGACCATGGATATCAAAACCCTTCTCCAGGGCATCTTGGGATCTCCTGTTGTTTTGAAGTGGTTCAGTAATCTTCCAGCAGCTTAGGCGGCTGCACAGAGGGACCATTTGTTCCCTGACTGAGACTGGCAGAGCCCTCCATCAACAGGAAAAGTGACACAGGGCAGAGAGGCAGACTCTTAACCCACAGAGACCAGAGTTTGCATCCTGGCTTTGCCAGTGACTGGCTGTCATTATGACGGTGGGACTTTGGGTTCATTGCTGTATCCCAGATTCCTGATCCACAAGTGGGGATAATACTGCATGGCTGATTGTGAAGATAAATAAGATAACACGTGTGCACATGCCCTGCTTACGGCCTGGAACAGAGAGGAATGTCCGCTGGCCTCCGGAAGCACAGAGCTGCTCCCGTCAGTGGTGGAGAGGCCTCCACTACACAGGCCACATGACAGTCTTTACAGTGCTTACATCTCCACCACTGCAGGAGGGGAGAAGGCGTTTTACTGAGCCTGACGTGTCTCAGTGACTTCCCAGCCTCCCAGGGGCCGCAGGGCTCTCTCACCACATAAAGAGCGAGGAGTCGGAGCCTCTGCAGCCGCGAGTGGGGATGGATGGGCAGTGAAACATTTACTGTGTGAGGGCTGGAGGTTAGAGCCCAAGTCACGTCCATTCATGTCAGACAGGCCTACTGCACCACACAATCGAACTGGCACGCTCTAGGGAACTGGGAGAACCCCAACCTCTCCCAAACATGGGCAGCTCTCCTTCAGTTTCTTCATCTGGAAAAAGAAGTCTATTGGTCCTCATAGGGTGATTATGAAGATGAAATGAGATCACGCACGCGCAACTCCTATCCCGCCACACGGTTGCTACTCCAGCCTTCGGGTGGGCAGCGTCCTAACAGCTCCCAGCTGGAGCTGCGCTCACCTGTCTGGTTCAGGAGCCCCATGAACCAGAGGACCCCTGGGCACTCTGAAGACACTAGTGTGTCCTCTCGCTTCCAATGTTACCATTGAGAAGCTGGCTCCACTATTCCTTTTTAGGTCATCTCTCCAGCTACTCTTCAGCTCTTCCCTTTGTCTTCTGTGTTCTGCAATTTCATTATGTTGTTGTGTCTAAGGGCAGATTTTTCTAACTTTTGAAATTAACTTATTGCGGTATAAATAATACACACTAAAATGTACAGTTAGATGATAAATTGATACATTTTGATAAATTATACCTTTGAAACTATCACCCCAATCAAGGTATAGAAAGAAAAAAATTTATTATTGATATAATTGACAAGATACAGAAAATTTTCAACCCCCCCAAATTTCCTTATATACCTCTGCAGGCAATTCCTCCCTCTCCAGAAAGCCAGCCATCCCTGCGGTGTGCAGTCTTTTGTGTCTGGCTTTAGCAGTGTTTCTGAGATTTGCCCACGGTGTTTCTGTTATAGCATTCCATTGTATGAATACACCACAGCTTGTTATCCATTCACCTTCTGAAGTGTCTGTATGTCTAGCCTTTCATCAGTATCACAGTGTCCCGATTGCTGTAAATCTTGCGGTCAGCGGTAGAAGTCCTCTGACTTTGTTCTTCTTATCAAAATTGTTTCAGCAATTCTAGGTCCCTTGCATTTCTATATAAATTTTACAATCAGTTTGTCAATTTCTTAAAAAAAAAAAAAAAAAAAGCCCGTTGGAATTTTGACTGGGATTAGGTCGCCTCTACAGATCAATTTAGGATGATCTGACATCGTAACAATATTGAATTTTCCAGTTCATGAACATGCTGTCTCTCTTCATTAATTTAGATCTTTAATTTCAGCAATGCTTTATAGTTTTTTTGTTTTGTTTGTTTTGAGCTAACTACTGCCAATCCTCCTCTTTTTTGCTGAGGAAGACTGGCCCTGAGCTAACATCCATGCCCATCTTCCTCTGCTGTATACGTGGGACGCCTACCACAGCATGGTTTGCCAAGTGGTGCCATGTCCGCAGCCCGGATCCGCACTGGCGAACCCTGGGCCTTTTTTGACATATATGAAATCTAGCTGTAAGTTTTTTTCTCTTCTTCCTCCCTGCACATTCGCTGTTTTGTGAGAGAGATATAAGCTGCGCTTAAACTCACACCCCTCAGAGCAGTTCCGTCAGAGTGCTCTGTTGGACTGTTTTCCTGGGGCTCGAACTCCTCACGCTGATACTGAATAAATTCTGTCACTAATGTCACCTAGACTCTCTCTTTCAGTCGGCATCCTCCTCAGCCAGTGCCAAGGTGACACAGGCAGGCTCCCTGCAGAAGGGGTGCACTTCTAGCTCATTGGCACACTGATGGTGGAGTTCTTTGGAGACTCAGCTTTACACAGTGTCTCTGACTGACCCCCGTGCTGGACAGGCCCCAGGCCGCGTCTCTGTCTCCCGCATCCTCCCAGCTGTCCAAATGGAAGCCCAGAGCTCCAGCCGCCCATGCCCCCAACAGCCAGCTGCTGACTCTCTGGATTTGGGCTTCTGCTTCATTTTTGACTTCTGATAATTATCTACTTTCCTATCATTTCATCAGTGTATCTGAAATATTGTAGTTGGTATTTTTAGTCATTTTCAGTTGGAAGACTGTCCAAATTGTAAGACATGGAGATCTAAGGGACTTCTCCACCGTACACTTTCAGTGTCTACTCAAGATAAAAACAAGGCAAGGTAACCGTGTCATTCTCAAACAACTGTACCTGAGTGACATCTCTGAAACTTGTCCCTGCAGCAGATTTAATTTTTGGACATGGCGCCTACAGTCAGCACCAGAGCCCTCACCGTAAGCCTGAGAAACAAAAAAATACAGTAAGTTTAAAAAGCGTTGAGAGAATGCTGAGAAACAGATCCATTAGAGATGTACCCCAGGGAGGGGACAGGGGCACTCTGCAAGGCCCACAGATGCCTGAAGCACCAGGCAGGAATCCTAACAGCGGACTGGTGCGTCTGGAGTGACTTACAAATGACCAGTCTCAGGAACCGACAGTTTCAGTCTAGCTGGCTGCCCTCCGAGCATCTGAACTCCACACATCAAGCCAGCTCAACCCAGAACCCCACACGGAGTGGTCAGTGAGCACAAATAAGAAACTCAGAAGAGAGGTAACACAAACTGCCAATAAACATATGAAATGACACTTGACCCTCGCTGATAATCAAAGGAACAGAAAATAAAGTGAGGTACTTCTTTTCACTTAACAGTTACTCCTTTTTTAATAAATACTTATTGAGCACCTATTGTGGGCCAGGCCCCGGACCAGGTAAGGAGTGTACAACACAGGAGTGGCCAAGAGTCCCTGCCGTCACGAGCTCACACTCTAGTGAGGAGACAGACAGCAGACGCCTCAGTCAACTGCCTGGCCATCAGAGGGGGAAGTGCTAGCGAGGAAGAGAAGGCGATGGAAGGGGTGGGCTGGAGTGGGGCCAGGACAGACAACTTTACACAGGGGGCTCAAGGTGGTGAAGGTCTGGGTCACTGAGAACGTGACATCTGAGCACAAAATAGGAGCTATGGGGGAGGGGCCCTGTGGATACCTGGGGGGAGGACATCAGAAGTCACGGGACGAGGATGAGGGCAAAGACCCCAGCCTGGCACTCTGCAGGCACAGTGAGGAGGCCATGCGGCTGGAACTGAGTGGTCTAGGGGGAAGATGGCAGGAGATGAATTTTGAAAGCGTAGGCCCTGCTATCGGCAGAGTCAGCTTCGTGGGCATGAAACCTGCTCTGCTGTCGCCATCTTGCAATTCTTAATAATCTTATCTTAGAACTTGTGCTGTGTGAGTGAAGTACGATGGGACAATGGAGCACGCCTGTGAGCAGAGGAGAAACGCATGCTACACGTGTCCACTGCTCCTTGCCACCCCATTTGCTTCAGTATGCTCAGTGCCCCTGGAGCACAGAATTCCAGTGGACTCACAATGCGTGAGAGTTGAGTGAAACTCTGAGTGTAGACGTTAAGTGTGTGTTGTCTATGCCTGAGTACGTGGTGGGGGGGCCCCACAGTCTGAGAGGCTAGGCTTTCCACTGGAACCAGAATTTGCTTCAAATGTAGAAAAAAGGCAAGGGTGTTCTAAAAGGCATGAACAACCACAGAACGCTATCATATCTTTTCCTACTCCTGTTACTTCCCTGAAATAGCCAATCTCCTATGCTGAAAATGATGACACAGAAGGGAGGGAAAGCTACGGCAGCCCACAGTTCCTCTCAGTCCTTCCTTACTTATCAGTGAGCTGAAGGCAGAGTGGGAAGAATGTGTGTACCAATAAGCGAAGTGAACACAGCTGAGTTAATATTGGGCAGCACTTCCACTGTACCAGTAAGAATGAAACACGCAGCCATGTGGAACTGCAAAATACCACCTGTGCAATTTTCATGATTCTGCACGTGTTCTAAATGCTTTTACTATTCCATATAAATTCTGCATGTTCTAAATGCTCTTATATTATTCCATATAAATTCTGCATGTTCTAAATGCTCTTATATTATTCTGTATAAATTCTGCACATACCCTGCATGCTCTTATGTTATTCTGTATAAATTCTGCGTATGTTCTAAATGCTCTTTGCATTTAAAACGAGTGTTGCACAATATAAATGGTAAAATTCATGCCAATAATTTAAAATGTTAGTTTTTCTTTATATAGAAAGACATCAAGTAGTAAATAAAAGACCATGAAAAGTTGAGAGACCATGAAAGAAAAGCTTAATATTTTAGTACCTTTAACGGTACTTTTTTCTGCTTTGGAACAAGAAGCTCTACATTTTCATTGTGCACTGGGCTCCCCCAAACCCAGCCCTGTGTGTAGGACCACAGATACTCCTCTAACCTGGAAGGTCTGAGTGCGAGACACGGCCCAGCCTATGTCTCAAAAGGCCCCTTCGGCTGCGCTGCTGAAAGCAGACTGTATGGCAGAAACAGGTGGCCCAGCGGGAGGCTGCTGCAAATGCGGCAGCTCAGAGCCCTGTCGTAACAAGCGGGCATAGCCTGGGCATAGTGTGAAGGCAGAGCCGACTAAACGTGCTGAGGGACTGGATGCAGAGAGTGAAAGAAAAAGAGGGGTCACGGAGGACTTCAAGGTTTTTATCCCAAACAACTAGAAAGAGGGACTTGGCACTTAAGAGATGGGGAGGACTATGGGAGAGCAAGTTGGGGGGTGAGGTGAGGGCTTCCGCTGTGGACATACTAGTTTTGGGAGGCCTGTTGGATAATCAGTAGCAGCCAAGTGGGTGGTAGCACACACTAGTTCAGGGGCAGGCCTGGGGTCTGAGACAGACGGTCCAGAGCTGTCAGATGAGCTCACTTCAGATACTAAGGGAATGAGCGTAGCTAGAGAAGAGGTCAGAAAAAACAAGTTCCAGAGCACTCTGATGTCTATACATTGGGCAGATGGGGAAAAACTACAAAGAGGACTGAGACACGGGCAGCAAGGAAGGAGGAAAACCAGGAGCAGGATGGCTAGAAGTTCAAGTGAAGAGGATGCTTCAAGGAGGGGGAAGTGACAAACTCTGAAAGACACTGCCAATCACTCAAGACACTTGAGGACTGAGAACTGATCACTGTTTATAGCAACATGGAGATCACTGCTGACTTTGACATGAGCAATTTTAGTGGACTGGTGAGGAGTAAAATCCCATTTGGGGTAAGTTCAAGTGAGAATGGGAGGAGAGGAAGAGGAAAGGTGAAGCGCAAAGTTTAAAAAGCCCGATAAGCTCCCTCTGGCCTAACCAGTAGCGTACCTGTTCCCCGCGTGGCAGAGACCGCAGGCTGAGTACTAACATGCTCTCTCGTCTTATCTGGTGCACACTAGACTACATTTTCCACTCTTCCCTACAGTCAGCTGTGGCCATAGACTAGGTTCCTTCCAGTGGAATGTGAGCCACTGCCAGGCCTGGCCCCGAAAAGCCTCTCGGGTAGCTCCTCCATGCTCTTGCCCCTTTCAGTGGCTAGAGGCAGCAGGAGACAAGCCTCAGGGAATAACAGGACCTCACGACGACAGGAGCCTGGCCCCTGAATGACCACACCAAGGACAACCGCCCTGCTCACCTCGCTTCCTCCCAGGACTGTTACAAGAGCAAGAGAAACAACTTCTATCTTGCTGAGTCCCCGCAACTGTGGTGTCTGTTTGTTACTGTGGCCTAGTCAACCATAAGTCATCTACCGTGCACATGCATGGAGGCACCGAAAGAAGGCAAAGCCTCCTCAAGGAGGATTTAGAAACATGTCCTGACCTCTAAACCAGGAGCCAGGCCCATCTCAGAACAAGCATCAGCAACTGCTCATCCCCACGCCCAGCCACCCCAGCCACTGGACCAGAGGTGGACATGAGTCAACCAGGCCACCCAGACTGCTCTTCCCAGGAGTTTACAATCGGGACTCAGCTATTTCAGTTGGCTTGAAAGGAGATGCTGTGGTCTGTGAGCAGAGTATGTACTGTGAATGTCTGGGAAGAGGGAGGAACGGAAGGAGATGAGGCAGAGGGAGGAGAAGATGCGAGGGGAGAGTGGGAGGGAAAGATGAGGCCTGTGTGTCGACAGCTTTTCAGTTCCCGGGGCTGGGTCTTCAACGAGTCCAGGAGGAAGCTCTGCCCCTGGACCCCCGAGACACCCCATTACCTTGTCTGTACGTTTTTTTATTTTGCTGAAGCTATTCTGAAGGGTTTTTTTTTTTTCCCCTATTATTTGCAACTAAAAGAACCTTGGTTGAAAGATATCCTTTGAAACAGCACTTTGACTTCAAGGAATTTGTCCTAAGGGCAGAGTCGGTCAGGTGAAGAAAGAGGCATTTGTGAGAAGCTTCACTGCGCAGCTGTGCAGAACCATGGAAACCAAAACCAACTAACGCCCACCGGCGGGCAACGGGGCACGACTCATTCAACAAATATTTATTATCAAGCGAGCACCTACCATCTGACAGGCCCTGTGCTACACGCCATGTGTGTTTTCAGTAAACACAACAGGCAGAGCCTCTGCTCTCATGGAGCTTACAGTCTGACGTGGACAGCACTCATGTAAACACACCCAAACAGAATTTCCGATCAGGATGAGGAGAAGAGCTGGCAGAAGCCCTGTTCAACAATGAGCACAAAGGCCCTAGGAAGGGAGCAGCTACGGATTACTTCAAGGTCAGAAAGAGAAGGCCCTATGGGGTCAGCCTGGTGGCGTAGTGGTTAAGTTCACACACTCTGCTTCAGTGGCCCTGGGTTCGCAGGTTCAGATCCCATGCGCACAAAGCACAGCTCATCAAGCCATGCAGTGGTGGCAACCCACATAAAATAGAGGAAGACTGGCATAGATGTTAGCTCAGCAACAATCTTCCTCATAAAAAAAAAAAAAGACAGAAAAGGCCCTATGGCTGAAGGAGGAGAATGATGAGATGAGGCTGGAGAGGTGGCATCAAGGGCTGAAGCAGGTGAAAGAGGGGCTAAAAGAGGCAAAAGATGCAGGACAACTTGTGGTATTAAAGAGATCAGGTAGGTCAACAGGTGTGGACTTGAACTGTGACGCTAGGTGAAAAAAGCAAGCTAGATAAGAGCGTTGACAACTTGCTCCCTTCAGTGCACACAGCCCTATGTCTCTCCTGACTGCCCTGCCTCCTGAGCCCACCCTCCCGCACACCCCTGCATCCACCCACAGCTGACCACCCACCCCTGGTTGGGTCTGATTCCAGTTATCTTCTGACAGGCCCCTACACTGTCCTTTCATTGTGCTCAGTCTAGTTGTAAATTACGTGCATGTGCATGCATGTGCACAGGCACACGTGTGTGGATGAGCTTCTCCTCCACTTCCACACGAGCAAACCTGTGAGGGCAAAGATGACAATGGTCTTACCTTCTACTGTTTCCGCTGTGCCTGCACACAGAAGTACTCAGTAATCCCTTGCTGCCTAAATCAACACAGGAAGGCACCCTTCCAGGTACTGCTCCCTCCCTTTACTTTCTGAAGGAACAGCAACCTAGAGAGCAGGAGCCCTGTTTCTCCAGAACTTGATCCCAATCGTGGAATGCTGGGACTCCGTGAGAAACATGCTTCAGCAGGGCTGGGTCCCACCTGCTTTCTGGCAGGGGCGTTAGACGCCCTATTTCCCAGGACTCACCCGCAAAAACGCCTGCTTCTCCCCACAGGCTTTGCATGTCCATTTGAGACTCTTCTTCATCTACAACGAAATTTCAGAAATACAGCTTAGATAATTACTTAAAACAGGTGGCACTGGATCCGAAATAATTTAAAAAGGTCAATGGAAAAGAACAAACAGTCCAGAAACAAACCAAAACATACGCATAAAAATTCAGAATATTATCAAGGTGAGGAAAGAACAGATTATCTAATAGGTGGCGCTGGGAACACTGGCACCCCACACGGAAGATCGCAGATCTGTACCACCTACGGTTCTCAAAAGTCATCCCGAAACGTAACTTAATCGGATTCTCGATAAATCTGGCTGGATGGGTTCTCTTTAACATGATAAAAGGCCTTACATTGAGCTCTAAAGCTGCAGAATCACTGTCAGCATTCCCATGAAAGTCAAGAACAAGCCAGGGTCCCCACTATTATTTACCATTTTTTCTGCACGTACAAGCCAATGGAATTGTAAAAGAGTAAATACTAAGAGGTATGAAAATGGAAAGGAGAAAAAAAAAGCTATCATCATTTATAGATGCCTTTTGTTTCTGGAACCCAAGAGAATCAAATGAAAAACTACTAAAAACAGTAAAACAACCTAATATAGGGGCTTGGTAGAAAATTAATATATCTTCAAAAATTAATACAGCCTTTTCAAAAACTTATGTTTTTGCTGAGGAACACTGGCCCTGAGCTAACTTCTGCTGCCAATCTTCCTCTTTTAGTGTGTGAGCCACTGCCACACTGTGGCCACTCACAGACAAGCGGTGTAGGTCCACACCCAGGAACCTGGGCCACCAAAGGGGAGGGCACCAAACTTGACCACTAGACCACTGGGGCTGGCCCTAATACAGCCTTAATATAAGCAAACATCTAGTTAGAAGAGATAATGGAAGAAGAGTCCATTTTATAATAGCAACAAAGAAAATGTTATCAAGGGGTACCAAATTTGCTTTGAGAAATGGAATGAAACAGCATGATTTTTTTTTCCCCCTGAGGAAGATTTGCCCTGAGCTAACATCATTGCCAATCTTCCTCTATTCTGAGTGTGGGTCACTGCCACAGCATGGCCAACAAGTGGTGCAGGTCTGTGCCCAGGACCCAAACTCATGAACCTGGGCTGACGAACCGAACTTAACCATTAGGCCACAGAGCTGGCCCAAATAGCATGATTAACATCATAAAGATGTATAGGTTGATTCATAAAATCCGTATGATTAATATGACCCTAATACAAAAATCATCAGGGCTTTTGGGGAAGTACCCAGAAGGAGTCTAAGGAGGACAAGCAGCATCTACAGATTTAAGTAGTTACAGCCTAAGATTTGGTAATTCTACTTCTCAGTATCTACCTTCCAACACCATAAAAATACTGTCTATCTTCTATGGGTACATATGCAAGTAAGAAATGCATTTAAAAAAAACAGAAAGGTCTGGAAGGACACAGTAACTGGAAACTGGCTAGCTCTAGGGGGCTGGAGAAAGGTAGCATGGTGTAACAGGATCTTTGCAATGGGACAGCCTTGGCTCTGCCACTTATTAGATGGAGAGACCACTTGATTTCTCTGGACTTCAGTATTCTTGTCTCTGTTAAATGGGAATGATATTTAATCCAGAGGTTGCTGAAATTAAATGAGATGTGTGAAATCGCCTGGTACATAGCAGACTTGGATTAAATTGTTAACTCTCTTCTCCTTGGTTTCACTTTTCAGAGAGTTGAAAACGACCACGAGAGCATCAAACCTTATATATGTGTAAACTTAAAAGTGGAAATAATTCCCACTTATTCTTAACTCCTAGAACCAAAAAATGAAACAAGTGAAAACAGCTTCTAAGCCCCTAAAATAGCCTTTACAAACTCTCGGCAAGCCACAGGCGCATACTCAGCATCTTACTGACTTCTAAACATACATTTTAAAGAAATTTGATGCTATCCTTTTTCAGGGCACAGGACTGGCAGATAACCAGGAGGAGGAGGGGATGCTCAGAAGCGGAGACGCTGACAGCCGCGTTAGGTGACATAGAACAGGGAGACAGAATACCATCTAGGAAAGAGGAGGAGAAGTGACATCCCCTATCTGGCACTGGAAAGTCAGGGAAGCAACACCTTTTAGAAATACCGATTTTCCTGTTTACGCTTCAGGGAGCAGGCGTCCTCACCACGCGGATAAAGGTGCGGGCAGAGCCAGGGAGGGACAGCAGGGGGAGCCCAGTACCGTCTCAGTTTTAAAAACTGTCAGCTCCCCTGTAGTTAAACGAAGAAAGAGCCACTTTCGGGGCTACGCGTGCATAACAGAGGCTGTCCTCCACCTGGTTTTCCCAACTACCTGCTGGAACTCACGAGGCCGCCTCCGCAGAAACCATTACCCCTGGTTTCTACGAATCTTACAACCACCAAGCAAAAAAAGAAAAAAGCGTAGAACGGCGTTATGGAGAAGCAACATCAATAAAGCCTGGTCCTCAGGACAGCCGTCGTCACTTGTCCGGACCCCAGGTACACCCGCAACCGCAGGAGACGGCGCCCGCCAGCCCTGACCGCCGTCCCCGCGCCCGGAGGAGAGGAGGCCGCCGCCCGCCCCACCTGGTGCGCCTGGAACAGGCGGCAGCTGCAGCACCGCAGGACCCGAGCCTGCTGTGGCTGCGCCATTGCGGCCGCCGTGGCCGCTGCGCGGGTTCTCCACTTTCCCGTCCGGCCTGGCTCCGCGCCGCACGCGCTGAGGTTCCTCTAGCGCCTGCAGCGCCGCCTCCTGTGCGCGTGCGCCCTGCGCTTCGGCCCGAGTCAGCCCCGCGCCACCCCCCCACCCCCGCGCCGCCTCCTGTGCGCGTGCGCCCTGCGCTTCGGCCCGGCCCGGCACCGCCCGCGCGCGCTCGGGCTCCTCTAGCGCCCCCGCACCGCCTCCCGTGCGCGTGCGCTCGGGTGACGGCCTGAGGCCCCTTCCGGGCCCAGGCTCTCCCTGTGCTGCGAGCATCCGCCAGGTCCCCGACTCGCTGTCCGAACTCGCGGCCAGTTCCCATCTCTTTCCAAGGCAGCGTCTGCGCTTAGGCTCGCTGGGGACTTTGCCGTTGCAAGGGCAGAACCTCCAGCCCACCGCCTTCCTCCGGCTTCCCCAAGTCGCAGAGAGGGAGCTGTGGGCGCCTCCCTGCTCCGGCCCTTGCCTGGGCCCCGTGGTTGGAATTTGCAGAAGCTTTGGGCAGAAGCAGTCAGTTAACCTCTGAGTCCAAGCCCATAGGGCCGGAGAACCGAGAATCCCGGGAAAACAGGTATCACCAGGCCCACGCTTCCCGGAGACGGACAGGAGGCGGCTGAAAACAAAATCAGTCCTTCTTACTGCCCCCCAAACCCCGCAAGCCACACCGCGACTCACTCAGGAAGTGGAGGAGCAAGTCCCACTCTGAGCAGGGAGGAGTATCGCACTCCTGTCGCAGCTGCCCTAGGACCCTAACGCCGGTCCTCCAAGACATTCACTCGTTCTGACAACGTAAGCCATCTTGTTAAAAGGAAATCATAACATCCAGTCCTGATGAGGATGTGATGAGAGAGGAACCCTTCTCACATGATGCTGGTAGAATGAGAAAACCATTATGGAAAACAATTTGGCAACTTGGATCGCTCAGATTTATTACTTATACACTAGTTTCATTGAAATGTAAGAGGAAAAAATGGAAATAAATGTTCTAAAGAATGTTTATGATAATACGGCATGGATCAGTATTCAGGTTCATTTCAAAGTCTGAGTTTGAAGTGAAAATGGCGGCATGTGTATGTTGGGAAGCAAGGAGGTTACAAGAAAAGTGTGCATTTCAGTTATGTAAAGCCAGACATTTATTTCCAGGTGTAGGGAGTTAGGGTTATGGATGATTTTAAATTTTTTACATTTTCCAAACTTTGCACAGTAGCATATATTAGAAAAAAACAAATTAGCTTAAAAAATTGTTTGAGGGGGCCGGCTCCGTGGCCGAGTGGTTAAGTTCGCGCGCTCCGCTGCGGCGGCCCAGGGTTCGGATCCTGGGCGCGGACATGGGACCGCTCCTCAGGCCACGTTGAGGCGGTGTCCCATATCCCACAACTAAGAAGGACCTGCAACTAAGATATACAACTATGTACGGGGGTGGGGGGGGGGGGGGGTGGTGAGATAAAGCAGAAAAAAGAGATTGGCAACAGTTGTTAGCTCAGGTGTCAATCTTTAAAAAAAAAAATTATGTTTGAGAGACCGTATATACAAATGGACAGAGACCAAACCACATATGACAGCCTCTACAGCAGCCAGCCCCTCCTCCCACCAAGTCAAACTACAGCCTCCAGAGCAGCCAGGACTTGTCCAATGACTGTCAGCTTCCCTAATTTTTGCACCTCCCTCCATCTCAGGACCAATCAGAGAAAGCCAATTATGCTCCCCAAACAGAAGACATCTAGGTAGGCAGCCTCAGCTTCTGCCAATAGGCTCTAAGCAGCACACCTGAAGCCGTCCCTTGTTTTTACTGTAAGGGATGCCCACTCCTCTGCCTGCCCTTGAGCCTCTGCCAAAGACAACAGATGGCAGCGGCCTCCTTCTCTGTAGCAAGCTCTGGATAAATAGTGCCTGTTCTCATTTAGGTCTTTAGTTCCACAGACTTGAGTTATTGGGGCTGAAAGCAGAAGGCCTCTGCAAAAAACGTTTTATGCTTAATGAAAAGAGCAGAATAAAAATCTCATGTAGACTATGAGATCAACTTTGAAAAAGATAAAATATAGAAAAAACAGTAGTAGTCTTAAATACTGACTAGTAGGAAAAACAGTTTTTCTACTTTTCTGTATTTTTTCCTCCTTTCTGCAATAAACATGTAAGCCTTTTTTTTTTGCTGGGAAAGATTCACTCTGAGCTAACAGCTGTTGTTAATCTTCCTCTCCCTCTCTTTTTTTTCCCTCCCCAAAGCCCTCTAGTTGCAAGTCCTTTTAGTTCTATGTGAGCCACTGGCACAGCATGGCATTTGACAGACAGGTGGTGTGGTTCCAATGCGGGAATCTAACCTGGGCCACTGAAGTGGAGCATGGAACTTTAACCACTAGGCCATCAGGGCTGGCTCACAGGTAAGCCTTTAAAAATTCACATACATGTATTTTTTTTCTTGGAGATTATATGAATGACTTCAATGGTTTGGTACAACATATCACTTGGTAAGCAGTTTCAAAATATACAATTATGTTTACTTATAGAATAAAAATATATTTAAAACTGTGTTATCCATATATTATTTAGTGTTACTGTTCTGGTTATTAAACATCTTGAACATCATCCCAGGCTGAATGAGAAGATGAAAGTACTGTGGTAGATTTTTCTACATTCTTTTATCATAGGAAAAGGCTAGATTCCTCTTTTATGTTCTTCTGTTTAATTTCTTTGGTATATTTCCAAATTTATACTTCTACATGGTTTATAAGACATTTATCCAAATTCCAAGTTACTTAAATCTTTCTAATTGATTACAATCAATTTAAGACTTGACAGCCAACTGGGTGGGATTCTTATGTATATCTTTACTTAATTTCATCTTGGCCAAGAACATAGTCTTTCTGGTATGAATTCTTTGAAATTACTTTATGGCAAAGCATATGGTCAGTTCGCGTAAATACTGGAAAAGAGATTATATTGATTAAATAATGACTTTTTGTTGTTAAGAAAGAAAACAGTTGGTCAGTTTCCTTGACGTTGCTTTGCTGTCTGTATTGAGATGTGGCCCAGCAGTTGTGAACAAGAGGAAATCATGGAGATTGTCATTTTTAAAACCAGCCATAAAATCTATAGAGACAGAAAGCAGATTAGTGGTTGCCTAGATCTGGGGGTAGGAACAGGGACTGGCTGTACACTGCAGAAGGGGTCATTCTGGGGTGATGGAAATATTCTGAAATTGCATTATGGTGATGGTTGCACAACTCTGTAAATTTACTAAAAATCATGGAATTGTAACTTAAAACCAAGTGAATTTTACAGTAGTAAATTATGCCTCAATAAAGCTATTAAGTTAAAAAAAAATAGCCACAGAAATGTATCTTTTAGTAGAAGAGAAGCCTCACATGTGGAGCAAACGTGGCTGCAAAGTGAGGGGTCCTCATGGTGCGGCTGGCAGCCTGTGGCCCCTAGTCCACTTCCTGACCCCGAGGGCTTGCTGCTGCCCAGGCCGAGCACACGCCTCCTGCATTGGACCTGCAGCACTTGGGCTTCCTGAAGGCACAGTCAGCACAGGCCCTGCTCAGCCTGCATCAGCATCTCCCATGTCCCCGTTCTCCCTGGGGGCCTTGAACTCCCACCCCCTGTGGGGGTCTAAGTGCCTGGAACCTCTGGAACACAGCCTGGGCCCACAGCTGCCCAGGAAGAAGCCAGGAGCCCCAAGCAGAGGCCACAGTACGGCTCTGTACACAGTGTGGTTTTTAGTTCTTTCAGGGATTTTATTAAGGCATTGAGCACAGTGTGATTTTTAGCCAACTGAAATGAATACAAGGAAATACATGGGGACCTGAGGGATGTGCTTTTAAAGTTAATGGTGAGGATGATGAGCTGAAAGAGCATTTAGAGTAATGCCTGCGTGGCACCCACTCCAGTGCAGTGGACGCTTCCTGCCCGTGTCCCCCAGCCAGGAGCTCAGGCTCAGGGGCTCCTGGAGAGCACCTTGAAGGTCCTACCACTTTGGTGCCCAACAAGCATGTGACCCCCCTACCTGGCGCCAAGTTGCAGGAAAGCCCCCGGAGCATGCAGTGGCAGGAGTGCGCCCATGGGTAGAGGATGCAGTGTGGCCTGGTCACAGTGCGGGCCGATCTGAGAGCCTCTGTCTGTCACCACGCAGGGCCCAAGGCAGGGCCCACCAGGCAGGCAGGAGGAGAGGGGCGGGGAGACCCTGCCTGGGCCCCAACTGTGGCTGTTCAGCCTTCCTTCCGTTTACAACTCACTGCTTCTGGGGAGAGCAAGAGGGCTGCGTCCTTAAGGAGAAAACAGAGCTGGAGGGGCGGGAGGGAGGAGAGGCCAGCCCCAGCTGGCAGAGCTGTCAGCCTGAAACCCCCGGCTGCTCGTGGTCACTGGAGGTGCTAAACTGCCTCTCCACCTTCTTTTGGTCCTTGATCTTGAGTCCAATGTCTACCCTCTTCTCAAAGAAGTTCACCAGCACAGACTCTGTCAGGATGGAGGCCAGGATCTGCTCGAAGGAGATGCACCAGTCGGTGTCGACAGCGCCCCCGCAGCGGGTGGTGGCCGCAGGGCTGCGGGCCTCCCCACCCACCAGCACCGTGTCGTCAGCCAGGTCCTCACACTGCAGGGAGCCAGCGCTGACCACCGAGTAGGAGGACATGGACATGTCGTCTTTGGTTTCATCGTCGGACAGAAGCTGGGGGGGGGAGCCCCGCCCCTCACCGCTGCCCCCCTCGCCCACCACTTGGCTCTCCTGCAGTGCTTTCCCAAGGTGGGTGTCTCCGCCCGCGCTGGCCTGGGGGTCGCCTGCAGCTGGTGGCTGAAGCTCCTGGGCCGGGTCCTGAGGTGGGTCAGAGGCTGGCGGCTCATCCTCCTCAGGGGCACGGTCCCTGGGCTTCCGGCCTGGCTGCAGTGAAAACTTCTTCCCCACCTCGCCAATGCGGAGCAGCAGACTGGCCACCGTGGCGATGGCGTGGTACAAGTCCTGCTCCATGGGGTCCTCACTGAACATGTTGTAAAGCGTCTTGCACAGCTCAATGAACTGTTCCTTTTAAGGGGAAAAACAGAAAAAGGGCAGGGAGATGGTAAAAGATGGGTCAGACTGCCCTTGGATT